CTGACCCGGTTCCCCTGCACTGGGGTCAGGCCAGGAAGGGACAGCACGGAGGTGACCAGGAAGGGGCCTCTCGGGCGCGATGCTGGGCCCGGGGGCCGGGCTGGCCGTGTGCACCGCGCTGAGCCTGCTGCGGGTGAGGCCCGGGGCCGGGTCCCCGGCCCGCCTTCGGTCTCCGGGGCTGTGTTTCGGGGAGGGAGAGGGGGACGGCGGGGCAGCCGTTCTTCCCCTCCCGCAGGAAGAAAGATCCTCCTCTGAGCCCCCAGCTAGGCTGACAGCTCGTCCTGCGGCCGCAGGCTAAAAGCCGCCTCCGTCTGCAGCTGCTCCGGAGAAAGAGCTGCTGGGAGAAAGTCGCTACCCAGCTCCTGCGGGCCGAGGGCGAGGGATGGGCTGAGGCTGGCGGCGAGGGCAGGGAGGCGGCGTGGGGAGCTTCCCTGGACCTGTCCCTGGGCGGTCTACACTGCGGGCTTCAGCTGTTGTCTCTGGTTCCTTTGCAGACGGGAGTGGGGGAGCCACAGAGATGTAACTTCACCCTGACGGAGTCCAGGGTCTCCAGCCAGTCGGTGTCTCTCCGGTGGAGAACTTTGGGGTCACCGTGTAACTTTAGCCTCATCTACAGCAGTGACACATCGAACGTCACGTTTTGCCACCCCATGCGGATAGACAACACCACCTATGGATGTAACCCCAAGGATTTACAGGCGGGAACCGTCTATAACTTCAGAATTGTGTCTCTGGACGGAGAAGAGAAGACTGTGATCTTGCAAACAGGTAAAGGGTGACAGGTGCAGTTGGAGGGCCAGGCCCTGGGGCTGAGCCCTGCCTTTTCAAGCTGGTGTTTCGTTTGAGTTCCAGGCATATAAAAAAATAAGGGCAGAAATACCTGTGAAGATAAAAAAGACTGAGGAGGCATTCTAGTCTCCTCAGACCTCGCCAGAAGCACTTGGTTGCTTTGAGAGACTTCCTTAGTGCTGGAGACAGTGGAGTAGGTGGCAAGGAGAAGGCCGGCTGTGGAGGGAATGGTTCAAGTCGTGTAGTTTCAGCTTACATCGCTGAAGTTGTCAAGCCCTGGAACAATTTTAAGTAAATGATTTTAGAATAAATACTGGAAGTGCAATGATTAGGGATATGCCTTCCTCAACTTAGTTTTATTTTTGGAACCAAGACATAAAATCTTCAGGAATAGAATAGAGTCATTCATAGGGGAAAATTAGAGAAGTCCCTTGAAATGAGAGTACGAAAATAGTTTCGTGTCACTTGAGTGACTAAAACAGCATAATCTCAGAGAACGTCCTTTGGTTACTCTGCACCTCAAGGCAATGATTTTCCTTGCATTTTTGTAAACCTTCCATGCTAATATGGTAAGAGTTTGTCTTGCCTGCCTCAGTTTTCTTATCTGTAAAATGAGTGTTAGACGTGGTCGTTCGGGTCTGAGTTCTTACCAAGTGCCAACCACTTCTGTGGGGGGCTCACAGAGCATGCCACCCACCCTCAGGCATGCTCTGAATTCTCTGACGACTTTGAGGTTTTATGACTTCTGTAGTCTTCCTTTTAACGTTATCTTTATTTGTTGCAATAGAGAAACCTTACTTTCATCCAGAAAATCAAATTTAACTGAAAAATTCCATGAGTTAAATTTAGAAATGTGTTGTCCTGGTGGTTCTCTCCATTTCAACCTGAACACAGATCGCTCCTTTAGCTCCCGTTCTTCAAGGAGGCTGCGGAGCTTCCCCTTCTTGGGCGTTACAGCAGGTCAGGAAAAGTGCTGGGCTCAGGAAATAAGTCAACCAAACATTAATTCTCTCATCTTCTCAAAGGAAAGATTAAGAATGCCCAGTTACATCACTTGACTTACTTCAGATGAAACTTTTAGATAATTTCTGAGATTTGCAGGAACTTAAATTGAAAAGAGACACCACTCATTAAGAATTTGGTTATGTTTTTATATAGAATCAAAGAGAGATTGAAACCAACCACATAATTAGAACATTTTACAGAACTTTAAGCGGCTAGGTTTTTAGTTATGAAGCTGTTGGTTTCTTGGTCTGTGAGGACAGTTTGTGAACACTCAGACTGCTAATACTGTGAAATTTATGGCGTAGAACTTCCAGACGTGTTCATTCCATTTGATAAGGCATCTGTGTTGAATGGGGCAGAACATTTTGTGGACGTAGGTGAGCCTTCAGAAGCTGATGGCAGAAAAGGTGAAGACATTCAGAAGCCAGCAAAGTCATTTAACCCAGAGGTTTTACTTTTTGGAAAAAACGTTGATGGAATAGGACTTACTGTGGGGGTTGCTAGTTAGAATGTGCCTTGAGTTTAATTATGAAGCATGTAGGTGTCTCAAGTCCAAATGCATTTGTGAAATGTAAGAAATATTTGCATTTTATTGACTATGTTGAGTTAAAAAAGACTTCATCAGCATTCACAATGGGTTAGCATTCAGGTTCTCATCATTTTTCTTAAGAAGTTATTTTTTGCAGTACCACAAATAGACTTTTCACCACAAATTTTATGAGCTCCATGATAAATGTGAAGAATGAAATTTGCAGGTGATGTTTGTATAATGATAATTTTTTCACATTTGTTTGTATGATGGTAAAACCCTTCTTAGGATTCTCTACATTTTTAAAATAATTTTATTTTTTTGTGAGGAAGATCAGCCCTGAGCTAACGTCCGATGCCAATCTTCCTCTTTTTTGCTGAGGAAGACTGGACCTGGGCTAACATCCATGCCCATCTTCCTCTATTTTATAGGGGATGCCGCCACACCATGGATTGACAAGCGGTGCGTTGCTGCACGCCCAGGATCCGAACCTGCGAACCCTGGGCTGCCAAAGCAGAGTGCTCGCACTTAACCGCTGCGCCACCAGGCTGGCCCCTAAAATAATTTTATTTATGTAAACACTGTTTTTACATTAGGATATTTTAAAAAATGTTTCAGGGAGGATTTTTTTGTTGGTTTTTATTTATTTTTGGTCAGTAGGGCTTTCTATATTTTAAGGACATATGTGAATTTTTCATTTAGTAAAGAGAAAGTAATAGTATTCCTCTATATTAATTGCTAAGCTCAGAGATGAGCTTCACAAATCATATTTTACTGTTATTAAGGACTAACTAGTAGGATAATAAGTCCAAGATGTAACTTCAAACAAAAAGTCATTCAAAATGTGTGTGTTTCCTTATCCATTTTGCCTGTCTTATTGGTCTGGAATAAAATAGAGTGAGAGCAAGAGGTGATTCACTAGAGTTGCTCAGATTATCTCTGTATCATTGCAGGTGTGATTTTTCTGATTGTTTTTTCCTGATAAATTGTCTAAAATAGTTATTTTGGTGTCATGCAGACATGACCTTAAAGATCAAAAATTTTAACTGAATGGGAAGTATTTCTGCAATCAGTTCTCACTCCAGATTTAAAATCAGAATTAAAACATATGTGGATTCAAATTCAGTCCAGCAAACATCTGTCGAGCATGGATACTGCAGGGAATTACACTCAAGCAGTGATTGGTGGGCTTGTAGAGATGATAAACAAAACATGGCCCCTACCCTGAGGTCCTGTGCAGAGGGGAGGGGAGGCCACGGTGAGGGTGGTGACAGAGCTTCAGCACTTCTTTCCTGGATGAAGACCTTGCCCTGCCTTGTGCGTCCCATGCTTCATGGTCAGAGAGAAGACCATGTTGATGCAACCATAATAAATTGAAAGCCGAATTATTTAGTTGTGAATTCATCAGAAATCAGACAATGAAGATAAAAGATATGGAAGAACTCAACACTTTTATAACACTGTGTCCTCAGAGTCTAGAGTAGAGGCTGCAAACTGGTAGCCCTGGGGGTGTCTAGGTGTCAGAATAATAGATGTGTTTTGTTTGGCTCACACAGTGTTTGTGAAAAATTCAGATTTTTTCACCAAAATTAAAAATGGAAAATTCACATAAATACCAGATGTATTAATTCTTTTAAAATATTAGAAGATTCGGTAAAACTGGGCCAGTCTGCCTAGAACTCTCTAGAGTGGCTTCTCTCCTTTCAGATACCAATTCACTGGAGTCCCCCTGGACCACTTCATTTATTTCCTCACTGGAATGCATCCTAATGACGTTTGAGTTTGTTTAAATGAAACTTTACAGTTTTCGTTTAAGACTTTTGGGGGGCTTTTATCTTCCCACCAATAAAAAGTCATTTTCAATACCTAAAATGGCACCTAGCACATGGTGTGTGGTCAATAAATATTGATTAAATGGATGGACCGTTGGATGAATGGATGAATGAATGGATAGATGAATGGGTGGATCTATGGATGAATAGATAGATAGATGATAGATAGATAGATATGAATGAATGAAATGAATATTTTGGTGGGAGAATGTACAGATACCAAAAATATGGTCTATTCTCTTTGGGTTATGGGTAAGTTATGGAGCCCAGGGAAACAGTCTGATGGTAGAGAACTTTACCTACAGGAAGAATATCTTAGTGGCATACGCCCTCTTGTTAGTAAGTTTCGGTTACTTATTAATTAGGCTAGAACAAAAAGCAAAAAAAAATATTTTAGCTCTTTTAATATGGCTAATTCCTTTGTCTTTAATAAAAAACATTTTGGGAGCTTTAATTACCAAGTCATCATGTCAGCTGTTATTTTGACTTCAAAATGTTGCTTATTGTATCAGTTTACTCGGGCTTCCATAATAAAATACCACAGACTGGGTGGCTTCAACAACATGAATTTATTTTCTCACAATTCTGGAGGCTGGGAAGTCCCAGATCAAGGTGTCAACAGGTTCTTCTCATGCTTCTCTGATTGGCTTACAGACACAGCCTTCTCGCTGTGTCCTCACATGGCCGTCCCTCTGTCTGTGTTGTCTGTGTCCTAATGTCCTCTTCTTATAAGGACACCAGCATATTGGATTAGGGCCCATCCTAACAACCCCATTTTAATTTAATCACCTCTTTAAAGACCTTATCTCCAAATACAGTCACATTCTCAAGTATTGGAGGTTTCAACATATGAATTTTAGAGGGACATAATTCAGCCTGTGACACTTACATAGCTTTAAACATAGGCTATTATTTCTCAATAACATGTGCAAGCTACTTGCATCAAAATCTCCTGCAGCGCTTGTTTTAAAAGCACATTCTTGGCTTCTACCCCACATGTAATGAATCAAGAGGGAGTAGGGCCGAGAGTATCTGATTTTAGACAAATATCAAAATGAATCAGTGCACACTGAAGTTCAAGAGCTATTGACATAGTTTTTCTATCATTTCTGTCTGTTTTACTGACCACTGTTTAACTGTAGCCTCGTGGTGGCCCTGTGGAAGGAGCATCGTGTGGGCTCAGGGTGCAGGGTCGTTGGGAGTGAGTTCTGAACGCAGCCGCCTCCAGCACTTCTCCAGCTATCTGCCCAAGCACCTCACTGACCTCTCCAGGCCTGTTTCCTCGTCTGTTAAATGGGGATGATGATAAAAATAATGCCTGCTTCGTAGGGTCACGTCAAGGTTTCCACTGGTTAATGCATAAATTCTAGAACGGTTTTGTCACATACCAAGTGTGTAGTAAGTTTACTATCATTACTTTCCGGTTGGAGATGAGACTGATATTCCTAAGAATTAACTAGTCACAAATCCACACAGCTGAGGTATGGTAGACCCAGCACCTGAACGGGGGCTCATTGGCTCCAACTCCAGTTCTTCCCACTACTCTGCGGAAAAGATATAATCTTTAAGTTGGTGTTAGCTCTTTCAAATTACCATATCACATTTTGTTATTA